ATCCAGCTCTACACCTTGTTATCTCAGATTCTCCAGCATCTGCAGTTCCTGCTATCTCTGAATATGGTATAAGTTTGCTTTTTGACCCCCACAGTTCAACGTATCTGCAAAGGATATCTAGGACTGATTCTACAAATGGTCAAGATGGCATAAAGAATTTAGAAGTAATGACCACAAGTATAATTAATTTTAAAGATTCTGTAACAACCTTACAAAGACACACCTAGCTAGTTAGCATTGCAATGTTTTCTTCACTAACACCTGGGAAATGCTGCCAAAGTTGGGAGAGATTTCCCACAGATTACTCGACTGTTAATCAACAAAGTCATACTCAAAGAATCATAGCAAATACTCCAGATTCTTCTATCATTACTCCTGGGGTGTACTGTCTCACTAACACAAAAGACCCACAACAATGGTGACACATTATGATACATCAAAAACAAGCTATTGCAGTTATATAGCAACTTTAGCAGAATAAAGCACATCAAGGTCTTTACAAGAGTTTTATTAAGTAAAACTTTGACACTGAATCACATACGATGAAATTATTGATGAACCGAAGCTTGCTCAAGAAGGTAAGTTTTGAGCAGCATCTTAAATGATAAAAGCGTGGCATAGAAGATTAGTTTCATTAGCCTGGAAATTATTGTTGCTGATGTTACAGCGAAGGGGAGGTCAAATGGAAGAAAATCTCTGATTTCACTTTATAAGTAAAAGTAACAATTTATTTAACTCTAACAGTGAATAAATTAACAGAACTTACAACAAATCAATCAATTCCCCCTAACTCCTAACTATTGCCTAACTGAACAAAATTATACTGGTATGCTATTCTAATAAACACAAGTCCCACTTATATAACCCAAGTAGTAAGAAAAAAAATATAAATTAAAACTTAGTCTCTCAAAGTCCACACAGAATGTGTCTTCCGGAATGCTGTGCCTTCTCCACTGTCTCTCCAGTCATAAATGCCTTTCTTCTGCTATTCTCAAGTCACAAACGCCTTTCTTCCACTGATCCTGCTGTCAGGGATGTTATCTCTGTGAAGACTCTTAGCTTGAAGTGCCATAGTACGTTTTATGGGTAAGATGGTGCTTTCTTAGAGAGCTTAGCAATTTGAGGGGTAGGTGTTTATTTCTTAGATGACGGTTCGCTTTCACACTGATTTTCAAAAACCCTCTCCTTATATACCTTGGATGACATATAAATTTTCTAACAATAACGTTGGTCTGAGGTAGTCAAAGCCATCAGATTTAAATTCAATTGACTTTCAATTGCTAAGTGCTTGGTTTAAGTTAATTGGCTGATTCCAGTTCATTGCCAAAACATCAAATAACACCCAAGGTTTCCAATCAGACAGCCAATTGATACATTTCCATTTTAGAACTGGCTGCACATCTTCAACTACATACACACACTTTCTTCTTCCTGTATAAATCTCTAAGCTTAGAAAAGCACTTTATCTCTTAAAGGAGTCATGCATTGTTATCCCTTATCGTTTATTTACAAACAAATTCTAGCTTCCTACCTTCCAGTTCACGATTCCTCTACACAACTTCATAACACTGAAGCTATACCTCAAACTCAAATGATATTTCAGGAGAGGAGTGCGCTGGGACTCAAGATTGTTTGATCTGAATTTGTCTGGAGTCAAAGACAAGAAAACCTCCTTTCCCTCAGCTTGTGAATTAGTACATTTCCTAATCAACATCACTCAGAGGAAAGATTGAGTTGAAAAGTCTTTTCAAACAAAAAAAATGCAGGAAGATACATCATGGTGATTCATTCAAAGTATAAAATGTCTCAAAAGTCACTCAGTCACGTAACTTGATCCATACTTCCAAAACAAAAACCGTTGTATGAAAGTAGATATAAATGTTTAGTGTCTGATGAAGGCAGATAGATATTTTTAGTGTCTGATAATGAAAATATTTACCAAAGAGATTACCAAAAAAAACCTTGGAATTTATATCGCACCTTTCACGACTTTAGGCCATCCCAAGCCACTTACAATAATGAGGTATGTGTGAAGCAGAGGTCAACCCCTCCTCAAATTACTAAAACCAAAACACCCAGAGAAGCTTGCCTCACCTCAATCTGTTAAAGGAAGTGTGAGAAGTAGTATAACCTTCCTCTCACACA